CACAGATAAAATGCATAAATAAATATAAATAAATATAATAATAATATCAAAGCATAAAATCAGACGCCACAATTAAAATAAAGTGCAGTAGGGCTAAAATGGCCAGAAGTTTTTCCCACAAGTTGCTGAATCACCTGTGGGTTGCGCGCCGCGGCGCGTCCGAGGGGCGTCGTAGTCCATGAATTCATGGTATATTTCGATGGAACTACGAAGTGCTATTAACGACATTGTTAAAAGCACATGATTTTGAGAGATTCCTAACTTAGTTAGATTTTTGATGGTCTCCCTGGGCATCGCCCCTCTTGTTCCTACCACGACTGGTAGGACTTCAGCAGAGCAAGCTGCCCACCTCTGCTGGAATTGAGGTAGCAAGCGGCTATATTTTTCTACTTTGCTTGTAAACCCTTGAGCGAGATTATTCCCGTCTTCGTGGCGGACTGTAACATCGACCACGAAGACCCTTCCCCGGCTTTGTATTACCAGGTCAGGTTTGAGATTCCCGCCTCCGGTTGCCGCCACCGTCGGTTCAACCGTTATTGCCACCTCTGGGCCTTTCTTTTTAAGTTCTTCCACGATGAGGTTTTTGATCTCATCGTGCCTTCGAATCCTATGTGGTTTCGTGTGACGACATTGCCCCAATATGTGTCCCAATGTCTCAATTTGCGAACCACATTGCCTGCATGTAGGATCCGGTATTCTGGTCGTCTGCTCATGGCCGCCCTGTCAGCACATGAGTTGGTTCTCATCTTGAGGGCTGTAATCATACGACATGGCTTGAGCAACGAGGGGTCCCTAAGCCATGCGTTTCCGATCCTGGAGTCGGCGAAGGCCGCTGCCGACTTTCCTTGAGAACCAAGGCGCTTCCATCTGGCAAGCTCAGCCTTCTTTTGCGTTCTAGTATAGCTGGCAGTTGCTCCCCAGTAACTGGCCAAGCTATCCGGGCATCGAGAGCGAGTCGCCTCACTCTACTCTCGAGCTTAGTGCCCGTGGCAAGAGCTTGCATTGCCGGGTCGGGGTTGTCCACGAACTTTAAGCCGGCTTTTAGGGCTGATGAGGTGGCGAGCCACTCCAACCTCGGGATCGCAAGTCCCCCGTCCCTCTTACCGCAGTATAATAAGGCGTTCGTTGTTGCCTGCGGCAGGTGAAGAATATTCTTCACCACTACCCGTAGCTCCTGGTCCATCAGTTTTCTGTGTCATAGCCGGCATCGCTATGGACAACTGATACAGGTAATGAGGAACAATGTAAGTAGAGATTAAGTCTATCTTTTGATGCGGTTTCAACTTTAGTCGTTGCACACGACTAAGAGTTGAAGCAAGGTCGGCTCGTATGCCCTCGGTTGTGACCCCAACCCAGGGAGACAACTTGCATCCAAGGTAGACAAGGTGATCGCCGGCCCCCGCTACCGGTATCACTTCTCCACTGTCGAGTTCGAGGCCTGGGTCAGTTAAGTACCAGGAGTCTTTGGTACGGTTTACACGGAAGGTGCGGCATTTATTGGCAGCAATCTTCATACCTAGACTCGATAGGTATGCTTCCGTGCTACTTAACTGGTCCTTAGCATGTGGTACTGTTTGCGCGACTAGGAGCAGATCGTCGGCAAATGCTAAGGACGATATCTGCGTCTCTGTGTCGATTTTGTACCCAGGTCTCGTTTCCAGCTTATCTAGCAAGGGCTCCAAAACTAGATTGAATAGTAATGGGCTGAGGGGGTCACCTTGCTTGACCCCCCGCTGGAGGCGTATCTCGATTGGCGCCTGATTAAGTTCTATAATAGTAGTACATCCTCATATGCATTTTCCACGATACGTACCACCTGTTCGGGAAAACCTTTGCGACGTAACGCGTGTCCTATAGCTTGGTGCGGCACGTATCAAATGCTTTGGACACGTCCAGCTGCGTTACGACCAGGCCATTCTTGGCTTTTGAGTGCCTCAGCAGCTCATTGAGGATGTGGATGTTGTTGAAGCACCCAGATTCGTTCATGAAGCCCTTTTGTCTGGGTGAGAACCGTGCTTTTGCCCTAAGTTTGCTGTCAATAATGCCAAAGTAAATTCTCGACATTAAAGAAGAGATTGTAATTGGACGGTAGTTTCAGCTAACATACCGTCCTTACCCTCTTTAGGGATCAAAGTAGTTCGGTTCTTCCTCCAGGCGGTAGGAATCTTACCGCTTATCATGATTAAATTGAAAAATAACTGGAGGACTTCGTTTGCACCAGGAACGCGTTTAATGTCTCCCTTTTTAATACCATCGGGACCCGGTGCTGTGGACATTTTCATCCGAGAGAGACGCGTGTTCACCTCTTTCACCGTCACGGCGGTTAGCACAGTACCTAACCCAAGTGCCGGTTCGGAGGGCTCTCCCAGGAAGGGCACCTGTACTTCCGACGGATTTGTGCCCCAAAGCTTTTTGTACAGGTCCCGCACGTCTTGGGCTGGAGCTTTTACCCCTGGTTCCTCCAGCCAGTCCACGTTGTTACGGACGTGCTTGGCAAGAATGCCTGGCTCTTTTTTGTAAATATCCTGGGTACGGGCGTAGAGGTACCGTCTGTTACCCCTCTTATTTTGTCCTCTACGCCTTCCCTTTCGTCGCCCTGCAACTCCCCGCTCCTCGCTGACGAAGAGAGCGGTGACTCTATCATGTAAAGTATCTATTTGCGATTGGGGCTGCCCCATAGGCAAATCGCAAGCCTCGGAGATTGCATTTCTAAGCAGCTGGGTGACCGTGTTCACCTCCAGATGTTGCTGTGCCGCTCGAGTCAACTTGCAGCTACGGGCAGTCTGAGCAACATCCTGTCTCCAAAGTGTCTCTTCTGGAGAAGCTGCTGGCGATACCAACTCATCTACACTGACATTCAGTACCCTCTCTGACATGTCAGGCGTCTGAGTCGGACTTATGTTTTCGGCGGTGGGGGTGATAATTAACGTTATTTTCACCCCCTGCAATGGCAGCTACTGCTGATACGTCGAGTAGCTCCGGGACTGGGATAGGGGAGCCACCCCCTACTCCCGCTTCCTCGCAGCTGTTGGTTTCGGGCGCTTCTTCTTGGGGGACGGTAGCTCTACCATCCCCTGTGTCTGTGGATACTGGTTCTGTACTGTCATCATCAGTACTAGCGCTCGCTGTGATCCCTCTTTCTGCGAGGTACCTTTCACGCCGTTCTTTGTAGCATTTTTGGGCCCTTTTGTCCCGGAGTTGTTTCAAAGTTTTCTCTGGTATCAACTCCCGCATGCGCATTGCTATACGCAACTCACCCCGGTACCGGAGTTCGCACTCCATCATTATTTGTTCCTCCTCTTCAGTAAAGATAACCAATCTTCTTTGTCGAGGAGACCGCCGTGTACCCGCTGCCCTAGCTTCGTTTCGGGTGAGTGGATGCCGGTGCCGCTGGTGCTGTGTTAGTGCACCGCGGCCGGAGTACCTTTCGCCGCAATCGGGGCAGGCCACGCCTACCGATTCGGGTATAGGCCTGTTACTTGGTACTCCGTCAGTCTCTGAGTCTGTTGACTCTGGAGGTGGGGCTGCCGCAGCAGCTCCCACCGGGCACTTGGGGACGTGACACAGTGCCGCATGTTTTGCTATATACATTTTTGAGCACATCCTGCATTTGAATCTGATTTGTATATCCTTGTGATCAGATTTTACATGTTTTATTTCATCATTTAAGGTCATGTGCAGGATGTTAATGCTTCTTTTGAGGCATAGGGGGCATGACCTTTCTATATAGGGGAGCAAAATCTCAATGTCCTTGTTATCGCCATTTCCATCATCATGGGCCCCTGGTCTAGGATTTTGGGATGGTGTGGGCCCATCACCATCCCGATCTTCCGAGGCTATGTTTATTCGTCGTAGCCTGTGATACTATGCAACTTGGCTGGCTGGGCCAAGTGCATGTCTTCCCCTAAGGGGTAAGATACAAGGTGGTCTGTATCTCGCCCTCGGTTTCCATACCGACCCCTTATGACTGTCCGCAGACAGGCCCCGACCGGGTAATCGGGGGGCTGGTTCCTAGTTAGCCGTCATCCTCGTTCAAATGCCTAACCAAAGGTAAGGCGGGTGGATGAGCGTTGCCCAGCAGTCACCGCGTGGAGGTCAGGAACCTTTGACCGCCAAGAGAGTCATAGTTACTCCCGCCGTTTACCCGCGCTTGCTTGAATTTCTTCACGTTGACATTCAGAGCACTGGGCAGAAATCACATTGAGTCAACACCCGCAGGGGCCATCTCAATGCTTTGTTTTAATTAGACAGTCGGATTCCCCCGGTCCGTGCCAGTTCTGAGCTGACCGTTGAATGGCGGCCGAAGAGGACACCAGAACGCCCTTGCGAGCGCACTCTGGGCCTCGCAGCAAGACGGTTCCGCGGGAGGCCAAGGCACGGTACCGAGTTCGGATCCGCAATCCTACCGCACACGCGCGAACGCATACGACAGAACGTTTCACCTCGCCCAGGCCCGGCACGTCAGCCGCGACCCGCTTCCTCGCCAAGCCCGACACGCCCCGATCCTCAGAGCCAATCCTTATCCCGAAGTTACGGATCCAATTTGCCGACTTCCCTTACCTACATTATTCTATCGACTAGAGGCTCTTCACCTTGGAGACCTGCTGCGGATATGGGTACGAACCGGCGCGACACCTCCACGTGGCCCTCTCCCGAATTTTCAAGGTCCGAGGGGAAGACCAGGACACCGCTGCAACTGCGGTGCTCTTCGCATTCCAAACCATATCTCCCTGCTAGAGGATTCCATGGAACTCGAATGCTTATGCAGAAAAGAAAACTCTTCCCTGGTCTCCCGACGGCGTCTTCGGGTCTTTTTGGGTTACCCCGACGAACTCTCTTGCGAGGGCCCGACTATTGTACGGTTCCGCTGCCGGGTTTCGGAATAGGAACCGAATTCCCTTTCGCCCGACGGGCGTGTTCTTTATATATACACACATACATACATATATTTATAAAACAACGCCACATCAACATCGGCTTTCGCCTAGGGCTTAGGATCGACTGACTCGTGTGCAACGGCTGTTCACACGAAACCCTTCTCCACGTCAGTCCTCCAGGGCCTCGCTGGAGTATTTGCTACTACCACCAAGATCTGCACCGACGGCGGCTCCAGACGGCCTCACGGCCAGCCCTTCTGCGCGCACCGCCGCGACCCTCCTACTCGTCAGAGCTTCATGGCCGATCCGTTTTTACGCGGATCGAGACCGCACATGCCGCTGACGGCCGAGTATAAGCACGACGCTTCAGCGCCATCCATTTTCAGGGCTAGTAACTTCGGCAGGTGAGTTGTTACACACTCCTTGGCGGATTCCGACTTCCATGGCCACCGTCCTGCTGTCTTAAGTTACCAACGCCTTTCATGGTATCCCATAAGCGTCGATTTAGGCGCTTTAACTCGACGTTTGGTTCATCCCACAGCGCCAGTTCTGCTTACCAAAAATGGCCCACTTGGCACTCTGATTCGATTCTCGCAGCTTCATTAGTTCGAGCAAGCCGGAGATCTCACCCATTTAAAGTTTGAGAATAGGTTGAGGTCGTTTCGACCCCAATGCCTCTAATCATTCGCTTTACCGGATGAAACTCGTCACAGACGAGCGCCAGCTATCCTGAGGGAAACTTCGGAGGGAACCAGCTACTAGATGGTTCGATTAGTCTTTCGCCCCTATACCCAGTTCCGACGATCGATTTGCACGTCAGAATCGCTACGGACCTCCATCAGGGTTTCCCCTGACTTCGTCCTGACCAGGCATAGTTCACCATCTTTCGGGTCCCAGCGTGTACGCTCTTGGTGCGCCTCTTCTCGTAATGAGAACGAGACGCCCCGGGAGTGCGGAGCGGCCGCTTTATAGACGTGCCGCCCATCTTCCCTAAATCCGCGCTAGGCGGATCTTTACTTTCATTGCGCCTTTAGGTTTAGTTATGTCCCAATGACTCGCGCACATGCTAGACTCCTTGGTCCGTGTTTCAAGACGGGTCCTGAAATTACCCAAAGCTATAGCGTCGCAGATCGGCGTTTCAAACGAGGTCTGTCCGAGAAATCCGCACGACCAACAGTCGTCCGGGGACGGAACCGGGCGCTAGGTCCGATCGCCGTCTTAGCATCGAACGTGCTTGTCGTGGGTCGGACGCTAATTGAAGAAGTAGCGGCCTCGCGCCATCTGTATACCGTCGAGCGAGTCGGCCGGAACATCGCGGGTTCGAGCACGAATCGCCGAAACGATCGTACACGGACTCCACCGCGAGCCGTAGACCGACACCCAACGGATCGCGACGTCCTACTAGGGGAAAAGTGCACGCGTTCGACGCCGGATCGAAAAGCGAAAGGCGCGGACGACGCGCGAACGCCGTCCGTCGCGCGACCGCTCATCGCCGACGGCCGAAACGCGAATGAATTTCCCCTTTCGACCTTTCGGGTTTCTCAGGTTTACCCCTGAACGGTTTCACGTACTCTTGAACTCTCTCTTCAAAGTGCTTTTCAACTTTCCCTCACGGTACTTGTTCGCTATCGGTCTCGTGGTCATATTTAGCCTTAGATGGAGTTTACCACCCACTTAGGGCTGCACTCTCAAGCAACCCGACTCTGAGGAGAGATCCTCCCGCGATCGGCAGCGGCCACTACGGGCCTGGCACCCTCTATGGGCTGTGGCCCCGTTCAAGAAGGACTTGGACTCGCCGCGCGACCTCGGGATAAACGGATCCTCCCTAACACCACATTTCCCGGCGCCCGATATCGACCGCGGGATTCGGTGCTGGGCTTTTCCCTGTTCGCTCGCAGCTACTGAGGGAATCCTAGTTAGTTTCTTTTCCTCCGCTTAGTAATATGCTTAAATTCAGCGGGTAGTCTCACCTGCTCTGAGGTCGGTTAACAATATACAACACAACACCACACACAGATATATATGTCACACGCGATCGCTAATACTAAATCGTATAGCTGCTGCTGCTATACTACTACTAGTCGAAAGCGTTCTCTAGTGTTTAGCGCGTATATGCGATCAGACGTCGTTATCTCGAAAAAAATAATTTCTCTCTCGGACACGACGATCGCAGCGCAAGTTCGAAAC